ATCAACTATCGAGGGAATTCTGTCTGTAACGGTGATACCATGATGATGAACAATTGTAGTAGGAATAACCACATCATCCTCACGAGCTATCTCCACTGTGTTCCAAAAACCATTCACATTACGATCCCCTCCATCGAGATCTTCGTGTTCACTATAGGGGACATTATTTTTTCGCTAAAGTTACGCAAATAGGAGTAATCGTGCGAACTTGGTTCAATTTAAATAAAACATTGATTTCATCTTCAGAAGCAACCTTTACATGTGGAATTGGAATGGATGTATGTTCATTGTTCAATAGAAATCTCAATTCCATGTCGTATTGAGTGGGATCGACGTTGAGCTTGTTATGTATCTCACGGTACATGCATATGATGTATTCGATGTCATCACAATTGCAATTATGCAATGTATTTCACTTGTCCATTTCCAGACTCATAGACCATTTTCATTCATTTCAAATTCATCAAAGTAACAAATCGAAACTGCAATCGATCCCATATATGTATTAAGAAACATAATTTGTTAAAAAATTATAATTATGAGGAAAAAAAGGGGGTAAAAACTGCATGCCTAGTCGTCCGGACCGACTGGAAACAGTCGACCCAATCGTTTGGGCTAGCTATTTCCATATGCTTGGGTTGGCCATTTTACAGGCGATCGTAAATTTGTCTGAAATTGTATATGCATATGAATTTTTTTCTCGTTTTTGTTAAAAAAAATTATAAATCCATTTAAAATCGTAATTTTTTTATTTTCCTACGTCAAAATAAGATTTAAAAATTAAAATAATGTATAATTTAATCAAAGCGAAATTAAAAATATGTAAATATACTTACTGATTCCAAGTGATGGCTGTAAATAATATTTTTTTGTTAAGCGTTTGATAAATTTATCCGTTTTCAAGTTTGAACGAGATGAAAAATGAAACAGTTTTTATCTGTATTGAAGTAAACAGATCAATAAAGTGATTTGATTTTGAAATTTTAAGTGGGAAGTGTTTGAAATTCTTTATAACTTAAAAATGGTATTATTGTCTTTTAAACAATACCATATTTTAGTAATTGTATAACATTTTAAGGGTAGTTTCGTCTTTTAAGCCTTGGAAGGCTATTGTGATGAATGTAAAAAAAAATTGGGCAATATGAAAAATGGCATGTTTGACACAACAAGCTCGACCTAGAACTCTCAAACACTTTGGTTTCCACAATTTTCACACCACAAAGGAGATGAAGATGGTGGCAGTATTTGCAAGCCAGGAAGAAGAAAAAGGGAAGACACCAAACTACCAAGTAGAAGAAGGCTGCCTCTCTCGTTTTTCTTTCTTGCCAAAACTCACACACCAACTCTCACACTCACACGGCTGGGAAAGGTTGCAATTGCATATCTTCATCAATTTAGGTTAATGCTAGTTGGGCTTACGACACACTTGAATGGACGAACTTAATAACCAGGTAAATGGACTAACACACATTACCTCCAACCAATTAAATTCAACTTAAATTTGGTCCCTCCAAAGATGTATTGATTGTTTCCGGATCGAGCCAAATCTATGGTGTCGATAAATTATCCGACATTTATTTTAAATCATCTCCCGACCACATTGATACTCAATCAATTTGCAAGTAACAAAACATAAAGGTTATACTTGTCTAATCAATGTAACGAAATAAAATTGGTGTCATAGACATTATCTCGTATATCGAACTCGAAACACATACAATACATGCTCATGTACTCACCAAGACTAACGTTGAAATAAAAATAAAAAATAGAGTAATCATAGTAATCAATCAAGAACATATAAACATGCGATGAAAATATAGCATATGATAATACACAGATTTTTAAAATATGTTTATACATAATAACAGACTAACACGAAGTTAATCAATCAAACAATCAACACATGCAACAAATGCATAAATTATTTCACAAAAAGATTTCACTACACTTATCATATCCCATTTCATGTTACTCACACATCGAGAACACACATCTCCTCTCATCGCCGACCATCCTCACTAAACTCATGTTTAACTGGTAAACTCTTTAAATCCCAAGTTCACCGATAATCCTCTATCACAACCTCACTTGGCACTCATGTTTTTATGTAATAAAAAATCCAACCAAAAAAAACTAATGAATTAAAGCTCAAGCTCTCTTTGGGTATTGTTTTGTGTTTGTTGGTGTATGTTATTATGAAAGATATACTTCCGCTGTACCTATAGCTTCAATTATTGAATAATTTAAGTTGTACGTTGATGTGCCCAGATGCATAGCTAGTTTAGTGATGCACACAAACTATTCATGGCTTGTTCATGGGAAAAAAATGTGTCCAAATCTTTCTCTTTATTAATATTCATTGATTTAAAGTTGTTTGAAGTGTAGAGGTATCTGTTTTAACATAAAAAAAAATGAAGTTATAACCTTGCAAAATTAAAACTCATAATTTCAAAATATAACTTATATTTTAATTGGGATAATACTCACTATTGTGAGGGTTAAGTTTTACGCTATAAAAGGGAGTCAATTTTATAGTTTGATACAATAACTCGAAGCATTATCCTCTATACAATTTTATACTATATTCATACTATTTTGGCAATTCGATGAAAGACTCATTTTTTTATCTCCCTATGATCATGCTCATAAAAGGAGAACTGATTGTGAGCCACATGGATTTTATTTGGAGTCATATAATGCCGA